CCCCCCCTAAACCCGCCCCCGGTGCCGGTACCGCCCCAAATCCCTCCCAGACCCGCCCCCGGTGCCGGTACCGCCCCAAATCCCCCCTAAACCTGCCCCCGGTGCCGGTACCGGCCCAAACCCGCTCCAAACCCACCCTAAACCCGCCCAAAATCTTCCCCCGGTCCCGGTACCGCCCCAAATCCCCCCTAAACCCGCCCCGGTGCCGCCCCCCGCAGCCCCTCCCGGGGCCGGGGCCGGTCCCGCCCCATTTCGGGGCCGGTTCCGGGCCAGCAGCACCGGTACCGGCACCGGGGGGGCTCCGGTGACACCCCCGGGAGGGGTCTGGGGGTACCGGTGACACCCCCGGGTACCGGTGACACCCCCGGGAGGGGTCTGGGGGTACCGGTGACACCCCCGGGTACCGGTGACACCCCCGGGAGGGGTCTGGGGGTACCGGTGACACCCCCGGGTACCGGTGACAGCCCCGGGACCGATTTAAAACCGCAGGGGCGGCTCCGATCGGGTCGGTACCGGGTCCCGGTCCCACCGGTGCCACCCCCGGTTCCCGCAGCGCCTTTTCACGGTTCGGGAAAGGTTCGGGGGGGTTTCTTCTGACCCGTCACCGTTCCCGGTACCGCTCCCGGTGTCCCCCCCGCAGCTCCCGGTGCCACCCCCGATCCCACCCCCGAATCCCGGTGCCATTCCCGGTGTCATTCCCGATCCCCGCACCGCCTGTTCCAGTTCGGGGGAGGTTTCATCAGCCCCGGTACCGCTCCCGGTGCCACCCCCGGGGTCCCACCCCCGATTCCCGGTGTCATTCCCGGTGCCGTTCCCGGTGCTGTTCCCGATCCCCGCAGCGCCTTTTCGAGCTCGGGGAGGGGGATCCTTCGGAACCGGAGCCGCTCCCGGTGCCGCCCCCGGGGTCCACCCCCCAATTCCCGGTTCCATTCCCGGTCCCACCCCCGAATCCCGGTGCCATTCCCGGTTCCATTCCCGATCCCCGCAGCGCATTTTCACTGCCCGGGAAGGGTTCGGGGGTGGATTCATCAGCCCCGGTACCGCTCCCGGTGCCCCCCCCGGGGTCCCACCCCCGATTCCCGATCCCACCCCCATTTCCCGGTGTCATTCCCGATCCCCGCAGCGCATTTTCCAGCTCGGGGGGGGGGATCCCCCCCCCCCGG